ACCGGGAGACAGAGGGTAAAGTTGCAACTGCCTCTCCGATGGACTGAGGGCTGGGGTTTTATAGGTAAATGCATCGGGTGAGACAGGATGCTTTGAGAGTTGTGTACAGGATGTAGGATGTCTTCAAGTGTGACGGACAGCTGCTTCCGGCTGTGTGAGGCAGGATGCTTTGAGAGACAGACGGCGATGTATCAGGCAAGACAGGATGTCTGCTTTTGATACAATCTTAGTCAATCATTAAGGGCGAGCTAAAAAGGGAAAACAAAGTTCTGTAGTGTACACATGAGCGTGGGGGATTTCTACATTATACCCTCCAGCCAAGCCCCTCACTCCTGCCCTAGGCTTTGTGCCTGTGTCTCCCCCTGCCTGGAACAGTTGGGCCCCAGATTGTCCCCTCCCTCCTCCTCTTTGTCATTCAGATCTTAATTCAAAAGGCGAGTTCCCTAAGCAAAAGGCCTTTCTTGAAATAGCCGCCGGTTAAATTCACACCAATCTGTTTTATTCTCTGCAAAACAGTGACCCTCGTCATGAGTTTCCTTGTTTACTGCCTGTTTCTTCTCTAGAAGGGAAGCTGCCCAAGATCAGAGATCTGAGATCCCAGGGTCCATGTGATAGGTGCCCCGTGATATCTGTGGACTCATGCCCCCTGCAGGCCACTGGGAGGGCAGGGAATGTCCCTCAGCCACTGCAGGGAGACACATCTGATTCTGGTGACTACCCACGGGCCCGAACTGTTGCTGTGTCACAGATCTGAGTGAGTTTCTTGATCAGCCACCTCACCCTTGCCCTTCCCCCAATACACACTGTGCAACTCATTAGAAGCCAATTCCATGACATGCCACACACACTAATCCCCTCAGGAACCTGAGTAGGGCCTTGACGGACCCCACCCCATCCCAAGAGCCTGAAATTCCCCTCCCACCACAGAAACCAGAGGGACACAAGCATCCTCACTCATCCACACTAAAGCCACCCTGAAGCATATTGACCCACTCTGAGCAGCCAAGCCTGGTGTGGGGGCAGAGGACAGCCCAAGGGACCAGGCCACTGAGCCAGGCAGCAGCATACGGTACCATGTCTGCTGTGGTTAAGAGCATGAAGCCCAGCTCCACTAACTAAGTCTGTGTGACCTGACCAAGGGTCCTACCCTCTCTGTGCCTCATCTGTGAGACAGGACCCTGACACATCACAGAACGTTTCCTCAAGCTAAATTAGATAATGATTACATTAAAGAATGTGCATAATGTGATTAACACAAAGTCTGGCACTTTTAAGCAATAGATAGTTGTGAATTATTATTTTCTTATTACTACTAAAGCACACTAAAAAGGGGCAACACCCAGAGCCTTCTGAGTGACTGAGGGACAAGGCTGGGATGTTCAAGATACGAAAGACATATCCAGATGGGCGCTGTCCCAAGCCCTGCTAAGGCAATGACAGAGATGCCTGCCTGTAGGTAAGTGGCCTGCCGGGCCTGCTCTTCCAAGGTGGAGGGTATGGGCTCAGCCAGAAAAAGCTACTGGAAATATCCCTCATTTATACAATCACTTTTTGCCCACATGCTATGGGACTTGCTATGACTGTGACTGTTGTCCTGGGAGCACCACCCTGGA